GCTCACCACTGGACAGTCTTCTCACATGAACAGCTTGAAGTCCAAGAGGAAAAAACTCAAAGCACAGCTACATATCAAAAGGGAGGGCAGGAAACCTGACCTTAGCACCCCTCCAGCTTGAACAGCAGGAATGTTTTTGTAGGATTCATGGGAAAAGAATCTGAAAGCAATCTGTGGAACAGAATTTTGTCAGCAGCTCACACCAAGTGCCGGGAGAACTTCAGAAGTATAAACCTGTTCAACAAGCAGGCAATAAGAAAGTGCTTGGGCCTACTGGAGGTACAATAAGGTCCTTAAAAGCCAACAAAAACCTGCAGCTCAAGGATAGATTGATAAATCTCTGGGCAGCCTGGGCTGCTGGTTGGCGACCTGCACACAGCAGGGGGTTGGAGCTGGATGAGCACTGTGCTCCTTTGCAACCCAGGCCATGCTGTGGTTCTATGATAAAAGCACTGAGAAGGAGTTTGCTTCACATAAACCAGGAGAACATGGCAGCACACAGTGGTGGGAGGCTGCTGACCCTCCCGAATACAAAGCTGTCATATATCCTGATGGAAGGGGGCCAGTAGTGTGTCCCAACAACAGATGAGAGGCCAGAATGAGACTTCATGGGGTGAATAGGCAGGAAAGGCTTCATCTATTAGTAATTTTACATTAAAAGGAAGCACACAGCCCAACGCCTCCCTCAGTACCCCTTTTTGGTTGAGAAGCTGAGCCTAAGCCATGTGTATTCAAGTCGCAGCATTCAAGGCTGCACAGAAAGCAGATCCAGTAACCACTTTATAAAGTTGACAATCCAGTGAATTAATCAAGCCATGAAAGCGCTGGCAGGCAGTTCCATATTAGGTTCAACAGAATAAGCAAAGACAGTGCTCAAGCAGTCTCAGCTAAAGATTTCCTGCTTCAAACCCTTCTCCTTTTGAAAGACATAGAAACAACTTCCTTTTATTGCTGAAAGCAGCACATTTCTTTGCCAGACCTCGTATCAGGGGGATGAAACCTGTTGTAAGAACGAATACAAGTTCCAAGGTTCACAGATGTGAATCCCTTGATTTTAACACACGTGTAACAGCAGACTACCAGACCATTTCAGAGTGGAGCCACGCTAGGTCAGCTGCATGACACAGCCTGCCAGGCTCCACCAACACCAAGCCTGCAGCCACTGTGTCCCAGAGCCTTCATTCCTTCTGCCCTCAGCTGGTGAGGAATGCAGGACCCTCTGCCCTCCCTGCACTTCAGCTGTGGCGGAAGCATCCCATAAACATCAATTGATCTCTGAGACTGTTGCACTGTCTGAATGAATCTTTAAAGGTCTTTCTAAGATGGGTGGAAATAATATTCAGCCTGCACAAAAGGCACTTTCTGCCACGAGGCGTATCAATAATGTACAGAATTACAATTAGGCTGGAAGTAAGCACACCGAAGACCAGTAAAATAAGCACTTAACAACATAACAAAGGTGACAACACTGAATTCGCAGTGTGTCAATTAGGCTTTCCAATCTCTGCCAGAAGCATTTATTATTAAAGAAATACAAAGCTACAGTGACATGGGTGTGAAGCGAAGTCTTGCACCAGCAAGACCAGGATCAGTGTAAAGTTGTTCATTTCAAGGTAGGCATGCATGCCTCAAAAGACAAAGAAAAGCACTAAGTTGGCATCTGTGCAATATTTGAACAGTTTTGATCCTGTTTTACTCAGGGACCTCAGCGAAGATGAGGAGCTGCACAGCACCAGGCTCAGCTCATACAAATGCCACAGCTGAACGTGTGGGCTGCAAACATCCTCCATCCTGAGCTCTGAGCCCAGGCTGCCCGAGATGCTTGCTGAATTATTGATATCTGGCTGGTATCACGTTGCACATCACAAGTAAGAGGCACCTTTGGGATATTCTACCGTGTTGCAGGAGAAAATTATACTTGCAATCAGAGAGGGGGTTACCTGCCAGGATCCCATAACGCTTCGCTGAACAATCCAGCTGCATCTGCAGCAGCTGACTGCTATCTAAGGTGAAAGCCAATGCAACAAAGCTTCTCCTTTTCTTTCTTCAACACATACCCACTTGAACATCCCTTACTAAGATGTTAAAAGAGTGATCAGAAGCTTTAAAGCAATGGCTACATTCCAGATGTGGGGAAAGTCCTTTGAATTAGAAAAGAATTAATAGCAAAGTATTTTTAAGCGCTCTCAGGTGGATAACAGCTTTTACTCTTCTCTAGGGCAAACTCACTGTACTGTTCAATTTATTTCATGGGGCATAGCAAAGTTTCATTCATTCCTTTCAAGATTCAGCCAGAGGCTGGTGAAGCACTGGCACAGGTTGCCCAAGGAGGCTGTGGATGCCCCATCCCTGCAGGCATTCAAGGTCTGGCTGGATGTGGCTCTGGGCAGCCTGGGCTGCTGGTTGGCGACCTGCACACAGCAGGGGTTGGAGCTGGATGAGCACTGTGCTCCTGTGCAACCCAGGCCATTCTAGGATTCTAAGATTTCTGGATGGAAAGCTTCAGGAGTGCCAACAGTACACAAAGAAGCGGGTTGGTATTGTGAAGTGGTGAGCATACTAATTCTGAGCTGCATGTGACCATGTGAATGCTTGAAGACAAGGCTCTCTTCTCAGCTGGAATGAGTACTTGGAACAAAGTGAACACTGAACACTGGGGAAGAAGAAAAAAAAACCTGCTGATTTTCCAGAGGAGTGCTCAGTTAGTTGGTAATACACTGTTCAGTCTGTGCACAGGAAATGAAACGGGACGAGGAGCAGGATCTAAAAAAATACAAGCCTCCTTTCTGTAGCTAAAGGCAAAATAAAAGGTGAAAAGATGAACAGAACCGTGCATTGAGTGGAAGCTTACACAGCTCCAAGTGAAATAATGGCATCAGTCCAGAAGCCGCATCCCTGGTACCTCAGGGTCGGAACAGGAACAGCTGAGTGAAGCAGCAAACCTGCATCCCAGGCATTCATTTCAGGAACCTGTTCTTCAAGGTTTTAACATTACACCTGTAAGATTGCCTTCTTGTTTCTTGCTTGCTATTCAAACTGTCCAACTTTGCTTTGAGAAAGGTGTAAGACGTACTGGTGCAGTTGGAATAAGGCAGGGTAATGGCAATCTCGCGTGTATTGTTGCAGACGTTTCAGGAAAATTCACTTGATTAAGTGAAGAAAACAACTTGTGTAATCAGATCTAAGCACAGCCACAGTACACTCATTGTATTTGCCAATTCTCATACCTCAGGGATGCGATATACCTGTAAAACTACAGCTCTACTGGGCAACAAATCAAATTCTTCATGCACCGGTGGCCTGCATACCTAACCTTTGCTAGCTAATTCACTGCCCAAAAGACATGCTGAGCCTCTAATGCACTTTAAAAATCTATTTTTGAGCTGCCAGAGAAGTTTTCTTCACTTGCTACAGCAGCTCAGGCTGCTCTCAGTGCCACAACAAAGAAACCTGATACACAGCTGAGAACCCAGAAGCCCTGAACAATAAACTTTGCATTACTGAGCAACAAGAGCACAGCTTTCAGTACGCTTATTTCTAGCACTGGAAGCTGAAAAGGCTCACAGCAATTTCACAGCCATGGCTGCTATAAGCAAAATCAGTATTACTAGGAGTTTTAGGTTTGGCAATTATGTCAACAGCCTGAAATACTTAAACATATCAAATTTTAATGAAAGGTAGCATCAAAGCCTCAAGTAAGCTTTGAAAGTATTCGTCCACCTCTCACCTCCAGTCAAACCATGCAGGTTGGGCATGAAAGCTGCAAAAAGATTAGAATTACTTCATTTATAACACAAGCAACGTAGGAAAAGCTAGAATTCCTATAGAAACTAATCATAAAACAACCCCATGGGGCTTTTCCAGAATGTGTGACAAAGGATGCTCTTGGGGTACTTAATCTTTGGGGTACTTTCTTTTTCTTTTTTCTTTTTTAACCTTTGAGGCTTTTCCATTGAACGAGGCCACACTGCATCTGAACAGACTAAAGCATGTGTGCCTATACAGGAAGACAAGACAGCAACCTCCAGCATACAACCAACAGCACACGTTTGTTGGAGGTAAGAAGGATCTCACCTTAAAGGAGTTCCTTAGCTCAGCATACACAGATGCATGAAAAAGCTGTGAAAAACCCTTCTGTTTCTAATCTGATTGAGACCCGTTTTAGACAATCATTTCTGCTCTAAAACCACGCTGATTATAGTTGTTGTTTTTCTACTTCTCTCCCATTAAAACTCTGTATTTTGATTACTTGAAGCGCAAACATCAGCTTTTCATTTAATTTCTCTAAAATACATACCAAACATACATCCCTAAACAGCAGGGATGAGGATCCTCATGCTGGATGTTTTCCAGACACTTTACACATTCACTGACAGGGAGAACCCAGAATCCCTGTTCTTTCAGAAGCAAAACGTCTTTCAGGACATTTTAAAGCTGATTAATTCTCAGTGATATCACCCTCATCTATTATATGCTTGCACACATAACACTGCTTATTTTCTACCGCAGAATACCAAAAGACACACTTCTATTGCCCATGTGGCATACAAGCCTGGCTGTTCCTCTTTCAAACCCAGGATGAATGCTGTCAAATCCAGATGATAGACATGTAACCACAACTTGACAGTGGGAATCCCTGACCCTGGCATGCTGCATGCAGTCACTGATACAGGAGGTGAGGACTGGCAGGACGTGACAAAAGCAATGCCACTTGCTGTGGCACTGATGCCTTACTTTGTTTAATCTAAATAAAATGCATTTAAGCTCCTGCTCCCTTCACAGAACCATAGAATTGCAAGGTTGGAAACGACCTGCAAGATCATCTAGTCCAACCACCCTCCCATTCCTATTAGTACCACAAGCTACTAAACCATATCTCGAAGACCTTAGCAGGTCTTTGCTCAGTTCAGGGTCTCAGAAGGAAACTTTAATAACACTAAATCCAGTTTATTTCAGCCTCTCTGCCCTGCTCTAGTAAAATTCATATAAAATCCACTTACTTCATCTCTATAAAGAGGACTTGTGTAGTACATGATATCCATGGCACTGCTGTTCAGCATGTCCCTCAGACCCCGCACTTTGTCTGGAGTAATGGAGTCCACAGTGTCTGAAAGAAAAGAGGCTTAAGTTACATGCAGGAGAAGGATAAAATCCAAACAAGGCACAGGCAAAGGATACAGCACGAAACTTCTGGGGACAGTTTTGCAGACTGCAGCTACTGAACAACCAAAGAGCCAAAGAATGTACCTCCATCGAGGGTGAGTTTTGACCTCCATTCAACTGGAAGAAATTCAACATGTGTTGCAAGGTTGGAAAAATACTTTTCTTCTATTTTTCTTGCAGTATCTCGCATCCTTGAAAAAAAAAAACAGAATATGTTCCTGTTAAGGCTGCTAATGGTGCTCTTAGCAGACAATTCAGTGCATCCAGGTGCAATGCGTTTTTCTCCTTACTGCTTTCAAGGTATGTCAATGCATGCTTACCAACACTGCTAATTACTTCACCTCTCAATTTTGTTAAAAAGTGCTTAAATCCTCACAGAGTGGAAAACTGTGTGCACTGCATTCTCCAAAGAGCTTCAGAGCTCTTTGTGATTTCACTTTGAGCCTGATTCAAACCATTCAAGTTCAACTGACAAACATCTGTTAACTCTGGTTGGTTTGAGCAGCATATGATCTGAAAACTAACAGTTTTACTGTCTTAGAATCCTGAACACACTGAAATCAACCATTTAGACCACTAAGGAAGACAGTTCAGTGCTTTTAAACACAAAGAAAACTAATAAAAACAGTGCTAGATAAGTCAGAATGTTAACTTCACATATCAGAATGGAAGGCTTAAGAGTCCTCAGTGAGAGACACAGGGTGATTTATTAGCATTTCAACTTGCAGCTTCCAGCAGCTGCTTCCCAGTTACAGCCATCAGAGTTTTGCTTTGAAGCCTTGTGGGTTCTTTTTTTCTGTTTTCAAAGCCAGCCTCCCTCTCATGACTGCTATGACCAAATGCAAGGTGACATTAATCTCCCATCAGCACTTCTACCAATCCAGACGTGCTTTGGGAAGTTTAACCCCCCCCCCCAGCTGAGATACTTTTCCTTGAGTATGAGTGCTCTTGTTCTGCTTGACAAAAATGCAATCATTCAGCCTGGATCACCAGCACCTGAGACAGTAATCACTGAAGCTCCTCTGTTTGATGAGCAAAACTGTCTGCACCAGAGCAGCGTCAGCACTTGGTGGTATCCCATACGGACAACTCTGTCAAACTCCTGCCTTGAGATCAAGTCCATCTTTACCCCTTCAAAACAAAGCCAGCAGTAGGCAGCAGGGAGCTGCCACACCAGGACAGGGGCTGCTCAAAGCTCTTTCATGAGACTGCCACAGGAGGTGACAGCACAGATGAAAAGGAGGAAGTGTGGATGAAATTCATTCTTCATTTCCCAGTGTAGCTGCTGCCCTGTGCAGACCCAACTCCCTGACAGGATTTATGCTGTGCAGGAAGGCTGAAGGCAGATGTGTGCAGAGGAACAAATGCAGAGCTGAATTTCAGCTCCTACTGGCAGCTCATATGGTACTCAGTCGTTCTGCGATGCACCAAAATATTAATGGAAGTGGGCTGTCAAAATATTTTCCATTACTGATGCTTTTCTGGGGAGGAAGGGAAGGGAAAGAAAATGAAAGAAAGGGAAAGGAGAGAACATCCTTTGGCACACAGTGTTTCAAAATAGTTACCAGTGGCATGACCAAGCAGCCAAGAAATGCAGCTAATCAACATCTCTGTTCTTAAAGCCTGGTTTGATTGCACTTCTAATCTCCTAGTCTGTAGTCCAAAGGTTTACATACAGCACAGTGTTCTTCCCATTTGAGGTGGGGGAAAGGCAAGAGGATCTGATTCAGTTAAGGCTGACAAACCTTTCCTCTGCTTAGTGCTGCATGTGCTATTTGAATATATCTTGCACACCAAAGACAAGGAGGAGCTAAAGTGAAACTCCCTGCCAGGAAACCAAATCACAACACTTTGTTAAACATAAAGCACAGTTCCAACTTTTACCCACATCTGGGGGTTGCCCCCACATCAGCTGTGGCTGCCCAGAAGCATTCCACCCTTTGGCAACAGAGTTCCAGGCTTCTGCTAAAAAGGCCAAATGCTCAGATGCACCTGGGCGTGTTGGAAAAATCAATGCATCCTCCTGGTGCCTTGCAAAACACACTCCAGCAAAGTACACACAAGTTTTGTTTCAACAGATTTTGTTAACTGCCACTTCACTGACCAAGTGTGCAGCAAATGCATTTCTCAGTGTATGTCCAAGCGTGCTCCTCTGCTCGCCATCCCACACTGCCACTTAACCTTAAGGAGCTGGTTAATGCTACAAAACAGATGACTGACATTTTGCAGATCACAAACTACGCAGTTACAAAAAAATATGTTATTTTTTTTGCCTAAAACTGAACTCGCTTAGAGATAATCCAGCTCTGTCACTGGCCAAAAGCAATCAGAAAGATCCCCCACTGTTACAGCAGCAATGTCACACTGATCCCCTGATACCAACCGAGAGCCACAATGGCATCAAAACACATCAGAAGGCCAATTTCCAGAGCAGCACATCTCATTCCCAGCGAATGGCACTATGTGGCATCTCCCACTGGTTTTCATCAACAGTTTTGTATGACAAATGTTGATCAAAGCTGCGATGTAATTGCTAAGCAGTGTGCCTATGCTCACACACAAAACACCTGCTACATCAATGCACTCTGCTTTGCTACTTTTTTTTTTCTTTCTTTTAATTAAATGCCTTCTGGCTTAAAGAAAAATAATGTTTTTAGCTATTTTATTAGCTGGCAAGGCTCTCCAGCCACTTGTGAAATTAACACTAACCGAAGTGATAAATCCTCATCTAAACATGCAGAGTTATTCCCCTTTCCAATACAAACGGAAGCTGAAATATTGACCCCAGAGCAACAATTACTTAAATCTATACACCCCAGCACACTGTAACAACTAGAATTTATGATTTTTCTAAGCGAAAATGCACTTGAGCCCAGATGTAATGAATGCCTTGGAAAGCACTGTGACATATTGCTACGCTGCAAGCAAGGAGCAATGGCCTGAAAATAAATACTTCTGAGACTCACCATAAATAAAACACACTGGGCTGCCTCTCTCTGGTTAATGCAATGAAATAACACCACTATATTTACATAGGTAGGTATCCTTGCATAAGAAAGTCTATTCCAAAGATGTTTTAACATATTGACAAGTATTACTTTTAATTTTTTTTTCTAATCATTACACTACTCATTTTACTTCTGTGAAGCATACACAACTTGTACAAAAGAAACCAGCTACAGTAAGATCAATCTACTACACAGATTTTATAAAATCACCTTGATAGTTGGTAACACTGCAAAACACCTGAAGGATAGAACATCTTACTCTGCTTGTTCCCAAACCATCTTTACAGATGCTCTTCAGCCAGACAATCCACAGCCAAGCATGAGGAATGGTCTCGGATTCAGGAGCCGTTATATCAGCTTCTGCCTCTGAGCTCATGATTGAACTGAGACAGGGGAGGTTTGGGTTGGATATGAGGAGGAAGTTTTTCAGCCAGAGGGTGGTGAGGCACTGGCACAGGTTGCCCAAGGAGGCTGTGGATGCCCCATCCCTGCAGGCATTCAAGGCCAGGCTGGATGTGGCTCTGGGCAGCCTGGGCTGCTGGTTGGCGACCTGCACACAGCAGGGGTTGGAGCTGGATGAGCGCTGTGCTCCTGTGCAACCCAGGCTGTTCTAGGATTATAAGATTTAGGATAGAGAGCAGTAGGGTGAGTGGCTGGGAACAGGACGACCTTCAACAGCTTTCCTTCCTCTCCTTGTGCTCTAAATGCATGCACTCATTTGTAAAGTGGGAATAATACACCTGTTATAAGGTGGGAATACACCTATTTGGGGGTTGGAACTGGATGCTCCTTAAAGTCCATTCCAACCCAAGCGATTCTGTGATTCTATGACACCACTCATAAAGTGGGAATAAGAACACCGTGTTGATTGCTGAACACGTGGCACACTTAATAAAAGATAAAAGAATCAACTTCTCCTATTCATTCCACAATTTTCATTTCATCACAAAAGCAGGAACGAACCCCAGTAAAAAGGTGGGGGGAAAAATAAATAAATCAGGTAGCATTGCTGCTTGCTTGAAAACTTCATCAACCAAAATACCTTTACTCTCACAACATTACATTCTACCCTGAATGAACAAGAAATTCACTCAGAGCAGCTCTCTATTCTTTCTGTTGTTAACCCAGGAACAAAACTAATGCCTTGTTTGGGTCACACACCTGTACACAGAGCCATAGAACGGCCTGGATTGCAAAGGAGCACAGTGCTCATCCAGCTCCAAGCCCCTGCTGTGTGCAGGTCGCCAACCAGCAGCCCAGGTTGCCCAGAGCCACATCCAGCCTGGCCTTGAATGCCTGCAGGGATGGGGCATCCACAGCCTCCTTGGGCAACCTGTGCCAGTGCCTCACCACCCTCTGGCTGAAAAACTTCCTCCTCATATCCAACCTCAACCTCCCCTGTCTCACTTTAAAACCATTCCCCTTGTCCCATCACCATCCACCCTCACACACAGCCGTTCCCCTCCTGTTTATCCGCTCCCTTCAAGCACTGAAGGCCACCATGAGGTCTCCCTGCAGCCTTCTGTTCTCCAAGCTAAACAAGCCCAGTTCCCTCAACGTTTCTTCACAGGAGAGACATTATGCTTCAAAAGCATTCCTGCATTGGTTTCACCACTCTGGAGCTCTGTAAATTGAGCTCAGCACTCCCAGCCTCCTTGAGAATACCACAAGCTATTGGGAAAACACGGGGCTGGCTTACGCTGCGTTTGCTAAGTCAAGTGAGAGCAGTGGGCATGAGCACTAAATACTGAGTTCTGCTGAAGCCAGGGGAAATGAAAGGGACACCACGTTCAAAAGCTCAGCTGCGTTTCAGAAATGCAGTTTTTTTCAAGGCAGACTTCAAAGAGCACCTGTGAGACACGTGTTGTCCTCTGCCACTGCTCTTCAGGGATTCCTCTGCTCTCAGGCCTTAAGATACTCAGAGTGCTGCTCTAGGACATATGGAGACTCATTTTACTTCAGAAGAAAGATGAAAATTCTAGGAGACCATCAAAGTGAACATAATCGTGATTCATACTTCATCCTTTTCAAGATTAATGGGACTCTGCATGATCAAAAGAACCCAAAATTCTAGGTTACGACAACAGGATCTCCGAGAGAAGGCTGCAGAGGTTCAGTTCAGGTACTCCAAACCAAGTGCCTCCCTACCTGGCACAGCTTACAAACAGCAGCAAGGCAGCTCTTTGGTTGATGCTGGTTTTGGCAGCAAAGCAGATGAGACATTCCCTGCTCCTGCTGCTCTACCCTGCCTCCCCACTGCTCTCTCCCTTATTCTGGATGGGCTCTCGCTCTTTGGTAACTGCAGTGATCTGGATTACAACAGGAGCACAGAGTCAGCAGTAGCGTTAAGTGCAATTTTGGGCAGAGGAGAGGACTGGGGAGAAGAAGGGAAGAAGGACAGATGTGAGTAGAGATGCATTTAATGACTGTTGTAGCTTTGGTCCAACATGCAGCCACGTGTTAGATAACTAATTAATGCACACAGAACAAGCTCCTACAGGAGTACTAATACCCTAACCATCACCCTTTACCTCTTGGGCTGAACTTCTCATCTGCCTTCCAAAGAAAGCTCGAGTTGAGACTGGTACAACAACCACTATTATTTGCATACTTAATTTCAGAAGAACATGCAATTATTACCAGCACCAGAGAATGGAAAACAAACATGTAATGTGCATACAGTGCAATGTAAGCTTTTAAATGGAAAATAAACAGAACAACCAAACACCTGAAAAGCTTACAAAAAGAAGCGTATAGGAAATCTTGATTTAAGATCCAAGCACTTAAAGGCACTGGAAGGCCTCTGAGAGGCTCTGTGTTCTGCAAGGGCTTGCATATCATTGGAAATTTAACAAAACTGCTATTCTGAAGTAATTATTATAATGACAATCCACAATTAAAAAGCTTACTAATGGGACGTGCAATAAAAACGTAATTGGTGACTGTGCAGTACCAAGATGATGCGATTGCACAGACAGCAATTTTTGTGCTGTGAGCAGCAGCAAAGGCAAATAGGAATCTGAATCAAAACAAGAGATTCAAAGAGAGGCAGACAGACACCAGGCCTGGAGAAAGAGCAATAGAGAAGCATCGTAACATCACAGCTGTTGTGGAAATATGCAGAGCAGTTACTCCATTCAATTTTTAAGCACAGGATGGTAGGATCAATCTGCAGTAAGACAACGGGATTGCTTCAAATTATTCCTATTTCTTAATGTTAGCATTGCTTCGTACCACAAGTCATGTAACACCAGAATAATGCACCTGATGGGAAATAAAAAATGCCAGCAGAGTACACTAAACCATCCTATCTTGGTTTATGTTACATAGAAATTCAGAATACGGCATCTTCTTCCATTAAAAGAAACTATCCCCTTTTCTGCTGGAACAGCTCACAGCTCATTATTCTGCTCACAGTAGGTCAGCTGAATCATTGTTCCAGCCTGGAGGAGGTACTGTCTCTTCTCAGACGAGTCTTGCTGTTAATATCAGCACTGACAGGAGCAGCTTGTTGTACCAGCTGCCATGCTACATTTAGACAATAAATGTGTTTAACTGCACCGTGCAGAAACAAAATCATGTCACATCTCCCAAAGACACATTCACTCAAACATTGATAGAATGCATCTTTTGCATTTACCTACTTACAGGACACCCTGCAACCCTAGCATCGAACCACATTAATGAGCAGACTGAACTCCATTTCTTAATGAAATTAGTGCATACAATTTTAAATTACCCTGGAAACAGAGTTCTGTTTTCAGCTCTGTGATGAACAATATCTGCCTAATGATGCAGCTACATCAGGAGATGCACCAGTTTCTTCTTGAGGCAGTAATCCGAGGACAGCTGAGCTCTGGTTGTGCCTCTCAGCCCACTGGGTTACAAGCAGAGAACTCCAAATCTGAGTTATAAGCTTCATTTTTGCACTTAGTTTTCTTTTTCTTTTAAGGCCACTTGCTCAAGTGGGGCTATGGTTTTGTGCTCTGAATAGAATTGCTGCTCTCATACAGGCTGAAAAAAATACAAAGGTTTTATAGCAGGGTAGATTGAATCTGAAAGATGCCATAATGTGTGCATGTGGCAAAGACATAATGCAGAAGAGAGGTTTGGGAAAAGGGAGATCTCCTTCTGGAGACCCCACAAGCACCATACCAAACCAATGAAAGGCACCATGGAGTGTGCTGCTTTTTTCTACCCACCTGAATACTGGGATAACAGCTTACAGCAGGCTCTACACTTACTTGCATATCAAAGACATGGACACCACCTGCTCATGCCTGAAGCAGCATCCTATAATGTGTAATCAACTAAGTAGGGTGACCCTAAACTAGCATCCTGGGCACTTCCTAAAGGCCTAGGAGAAGAGACACCACGAGAAGCCATCTGCACATAGGCCTGGTGGTTGACCTACATGTTCCTTCTAACCTGCCTTGTCTCTGTTCTCTCCCAGTCTGTATCCCAAATTCCCACACTGGAACATCAATATCCCAAGTGAGATACAAACTTATCAAAACTGCACGCAGCCCAAGACAACAATGAGCTCCGAGGGCTGCTAATGTGCTGCAGCTGCTGGTAGTACCCAGATTTGGTGAGGGAAGAAAGGAGGAATGGTGACAACAATGGCAAAGACTTATGTTATACAGTTAGCATGGCTGCAACTACAGGTTTCCTACAAAACCATGTCCATTTTAAAGGGAATAATACTGAAATATTTTCTCCTTAGATCATACAAGTCTGAAAAGTCAAAAAATACATCCCCCTACCCTTATCCATTCTCAGAAGGCAGCATTTGACTTTTTGTGTCCCTGGTGCAAAAGAATGTTTAAAAAAAAAGAAGAAAAAATAATGCACAGTCATATCACAGATGAAAGTGCTAACAGAAAGTGTTAGTATGGCTTGTGAGAACTGCCACTGCATTGGCTTGGAAGACATTTCTTCTAAAATGCCTTCCTAGAACATATGGGATCTTCCCCACTGATAAATTCTTAAAAAAAACAACAAATTTCCATCTAACATGATGCTTTCCTTTGTAGGTTTTGTACAGACTACACAGTTTATGCCAATAACTAGCATTTTACAGCTTTATGCAATGCCATCTGATTGCCTGATATTTCTTGAGGGAATGTGAGACCAGGGTGAAATTACCTGAAGCACAAAAACTCTTGTTTGAATGGTTTTAAAGTGAGACAGGAGAGGTTTAGGTTGGATATGAGGAGGAAGTTTTTCAGCCAGAGGGTGGTGAGGCACTGGCACAGGTTGCCCAAGGAGGCTGTGGATGCCCCATCCCTGCAGGCATTCAAGGCCAGGCTGGATGTGGCTCTGGGCAGCCTGGGCTGCTGGTTGGCGACCTGCACACAGCAGGGGTTGGAGCTGGATGAGCACTGTGCTCCTGTGCAACCCAGGCCATGTTGTGACTCTATGATTCCATGTAATGTGCTGCCATCTGTAGTGAGACTTCTCGTGGAATGGACACCTGTGCACTCTGTGCTGAGCTGAAATTAATCCACACACACAAATCCCATATGCATTTTCAGTGAAGAACAGAGTAGAAGGAAAAAGTAGAAAATCTAAATGACTTAACGATTGCTGGTGGCTGCTAAACCAGCAACTCGTATTTAGGACCTTTGCACGACCAGTGCAATTGGCTCCTAAAAAAATAAAAGGTTTTACATATATTTTGGTGACCAGCTTCAGGTTTTTATCAAGGGCTGTGGATTTCTCTCTCAGTGTTTTTGCCTGCTTGCTCCTAAAACACCACAGATAAGAGCGGTGAAGTGCTAGAATGAGGAGAGCAGGAAAGAGCAGCTTGTTGCTTCGAGATGACAACTGACAGCAGTGAAATCGAGAGGCCTGCTCCACTACAGCTGAGGACAACAGAGCAGAACAGTGAGCTGCAGAGCTCAGGAGCCTGGCGACACGATGACACACAGCAGAGCAATGGCACCTCAGACACTCACATAAGCACCGACCTCCAGTGCTGCTCTGGATTTAAAGGCAGTGTCACAAGACCCTTACCATGAAATCAACTCCACATGGCACTTTCTCTAGAGGCAGCAGGCACGCTGCTACTGCTGTTGACTTTGATGGAACATGGAACTGTTTGGGATGCACGTACTAAACCATCTGCACGACACAGATCTGCAGTTCACACATTTTAGCCTCTTCTTTCAGCTAATCAAGCATTCCTTAGCACCAGCTTGTCTCCTCAGTTCTGTCATCAGGAGTTTACAACTCCTAATATTCAACAGAACTATTTTCATGGATAGCATTCTCATTAACTCAGGACTTTGCCCTCCTATTCACCAGCACTGTAAGTGGCCTCCTGAGTTAGCTCGGATGTCAAATCAAAACCCATTTGCAAACCAAGCTTCACAAAAGACTTTTAATGAAAAGACCCCATAAGCATTTAATTACGTTCTGCTTTTCATCAGGCTTGCATGAACTCAACGAGCAGATTCTCAGCAACAGCTTCCCACCATATTAAGTAACTCGGCACCGTTACAAATGCCAGCATTCATTCTAGCTCCTCACTTTCACTCTTACCAGCACACACTTCACTCACTCACTGCTCTGACAACCTGCAGGAGCAATGGAGATTCCCCTTGATTTTGGTCAAATGAAAATCTTCCCTCACTTGACAAAATCACTGAGCACTGGTGCTGGAAATGCACCAGACAGTCCCCTGCAAGTCAGAAGTGTTGGTCATGGAAACAAAATACATCCTTGCTCTTCCTGATTGCAGCTGCTTTCCCTTAGGCTCATGCAGTTGAGCTAACATAGAAAGTAATGCACTCCCAGTACAAAGAGTAATGACTCAGGGGTAGAGAGGGAGAAGGAAATTGGAAGAGATGCAGCTTAAACTGAAGGATCTGCTGTCCTTTACAATGTCAGCATTTTATTCAGGTTAGAGTTGCTACTGCAAACACGATGAAGGACTCACATAGCTGTATTTTTGATGATCCTTCCTTGGTCCATTTTCTGCCCAATACCATGCACAACAAACACAATGTGACTAGTTTGTGGTGGCTTGTCTTCTAAGGTAGCTTCTTCTACATAGCCTCTATGTAGCCTTGTCCCACTACTTGAAGCTGCAGAAAAAACATGATCCTAGATCAGTTACATTTCATGAAATGCAATGGTCTTACACGTTGACAGAAGTTTAATTTGTCTGAGACCAATACATTAAAAAGTATTCTGAAAATACAATCATACAGAAAGGATTAGTATGCAATTTAACAATCTGCAGTTTTCAACTCCTGAGAGATCTGAGCAACAAGGTGACATTCATTCTCTCAGTCAATGTATTAGAAAGCCATTTCCAATGCAAAAAGAACCAATTTCAGAGCTGGTTTGAAAAACAACTTTTTCAGAGAACAGTTGTGTGATTGCCCATTAACTTTTATTACATAATGCTCTTCTTCAACGCACCTCAGCCATTAAAATTCCTTGTATCTGCACCTTACTTCCCCAGCAGGTGATCACTGAAACCATCTTGCCATAAAACAGGCACTCACTGTCATTCGATCTCTGATGGCACTAGAGGAGCTGCTTGAAAAACTTTAGATTTCTCCTACAAAGTGACAAACTGTACATGTTTTTCCAGCCAATTAAACCCCACGTTTCCCCAGGCATTCTCCAGTTCAGTGCCCAAAGCAAAAATCAATTCTGCAGGTATGGGTATCCACTCATTGCCCTGCGGGTGGCTGCTGAAACCCAGGGCACAGCGTGGCTTCATCCCCCTCTAGTGACAGAGCCATACAGAAGGCAGCAGCCTCCTATGAGAGCTAGCTGTGCAACACCAGAAAAGCTGGCATTCAGCAAAGCCCTTCGGATGCAACACAGAGCAAGGCAGCACCATTCCTCGTGCGGAAAAAACAGCAAGAAGCAACTCGTTTTGTTTCAGAGGAGGAGGAAAACAGAACAGAAATAGTGAGAGCAGTTCTTATACGTGACAGGTTTATCACGGGAGCTTCCATTTGCTATTTTTCTTCCCAAAGCGTTCAGGACAGAAGGTCTGCATTATCTGTTTCATGCTGTCCAAAATCACACTGTGGATACAGAATACTTCATCTCTTCTGGAAACTTGGGCAACGAGAGCCTTAAATTATACTGATTCTTGGCAAACATTAATTAAGTATCCACCCAAGAGCCCTGTGGGTTAAGAGGGCAGTAATTACAGAACAGAGGCATCAGATTAAAGCCAGACCTGTTTCCTGGCCTCTTCAGAAACCAAGGAGAAAAACAAAAGCAACCTGTGCCTCTTCTTGTTTTTGTAGTTGCCCAGTAATGCACAGGAGCAGCATGGCAGGGAGGACACGTCCCAATATTCCAGATGGACAACAATCTGCCTTTATTTGAGGAGGAACATCCTCTCTCATAACTGTCTCAGCTTCACTGGTTATAAAACTGGTAATTTTGAGCTTAAATGAGCCTGGATTCCTACAGAAAATGCTTTCCATTTAGATCTAAGGGCTTCACCCCTCCTCTCAGTTCATAGGTCTGTCCAATGAACTGAAAAAAGCAAAAGCTGGCAAGAGGGGGAGGCACAACCGTGTTTTTAAGGAGAGCATCACAGTCTGTAAGGACACAGAGAGAAAGCTAAGGTTGCAAAGGCAACTGTAATTCTTACACTGTGGCTATCAGACACTGCCACTGTAGTAGCAGCATTATGCAGCAAGGACATGAGAACTGCTGCTTCCAAAGTAACAAGGAACAAACGTAACAAAAACACTCCATGTCCAGTTACAGTTATGCAACCTAAGGAACCTATTACACCCCCCTGCAAAACCACACCAGCAAAAAGGGGCCACTCACATATTAACACTTCAGATACAGATATTTGCATTATGTTTTTTTTACAAACTCTGAGAAATATTACCTTTGGAAAACCCCAACTTTTGTGTAACAGTTCTTGCAATTTTAGATGTTGTTGCATCACTGTACAGATACACTTCATCCACACTGTGCCAGTCCACATGGTTGCGACTCAACTTTAGACTATGAATAGCTGCAGCAAAAAGGAACAACATTGAATTTAGATGGGTAAGGGGAAAAACAAGAGCCTCTTCAAACAGAGAGAAGGGTAATTCACACACACACATTTATATCTAGTGCTCCATTATACCTAAATCCATACTGCTTCTTACCTTGGAAAGCTTTTACATTGACGATTAATCTGACCAGAACAAAGGGCAGTTTGGAGAGGACATTGCACATCATCCTCCTGCACCCTGGTAGGCTTCTATAGCATATCCTTAACTGAAAGCAAAAAACGAGGGGGGAAGGGAGATGCACCCCCACAATACTGCTGACAGATGCACTTCTGCTAGGAAAGTGCACTCCTACCTTCTCTCCTTTGCAGCCATACAGTGGGATCCCTGCTTTCAACCAAGGCTACGGAGCATCAGAGTAACACAGAGGCTTTCAAGGCTCCATTATGAGAAGGCTCTATTGCTTCTGCTATTCTTTCAGAAACGTCCAGGAGCTGAAAATGTGGTTCAGTGAGAAAGCCTCTGAATGAGTAATTTCTGGCACAGAACAGAATTTTGCTCTTTCAAAAGCTCCTAAAGAGCTCTAGTGGGTTTTTTTTTGTGCAGTGATTGTGCTTTCCAGATTTGGAACGGATTGAACTCAGGAACCAACCTCATGACACACTGCCTGACTGTTGGGGTTAAGCACAGCAGGCACGCAATAATGCAAGCCAGAATCTCCCAGCTGAGCTTCTGTGTACAAAGCAGCATCACAGCTGCTGCAACACCAGCAACACGGATATCACCTGTGCTTGGAAATCTGCTGCTTAGCTCTCGTCCAGTGTGCAACGTTCAGCACTTGGAGACCTGACAACTAACAGCAATAGCCCTATGAAAATGTTAAACCACATCATGGGTCTTGCAAAAAAGGCTGTGAAGCCATGGAAAACACTCACAGGGGTTTTATGCTATTTTTTCATAACAAGCTCGGCTCTAATCTGTCCTCTACTTGAAGCTACTCTGATTTTTTGTAGTCAAAAAACATTCTGAGAAAGCATGAGCCGTCATGGTTTCATATTTTAACTTTCTTCCAGCACAAATTAATTAAATGTTGTGTGACCTTTGCCCTGAAGCATTTTTTCTTTCTTTTCCAAGGCAGATAGACCCAAAATAGCCTGAGGAAAACTAAATTAAGTCCCTGAGAAACAAGGAGATTAGAAAAGGATTACCCCTTTCCACCATAGTTAACAGCTGATCCACAAAAAGTAGAACTACACTGCTGTTTTACAGTGGCATAGAAGAAGAAGGGAAGCCGGCCTGGCTTAGATGTGTCAGCTTGGGCTGATGAGTGGCCAGAGCAAGAAGTAATATAGCGAGAACCCAAAGAACAACAAAGTGATTTTGTTGTGAAGGTGAAGAGAGAAGCCCATATGCAGAGATCTCAGTTTAGAATCAGAGAAGAAAGGAAATTCCTAGCAAGACTTCTTTCAGACATGGAGCCAATGCAACAGGCTGTGACGTGCTGAGAGCTGAGCAGTCCATGGGCAAAGGCTTCCTTCTGCATGGCTGCTGACTCCTCTACCCACGAATCCACGACCACTGTAGACTTTTCATGCATCCACTCAGCAGGTCTTTAACAGCAGAGGTTTATTCCATGTGAAATCCTCTCAGTACGTTTCTGGGGAAGCTGACAGAGCAGGACTGGAAGCACGATGCCTTTGGAGAACGCCATGCTCAAGACTCTAAGCATGCACAGGAAGAAGTAGAGAAGTCTGTGGCTCAACTGCTTGCTACCATTGGAAGAACAGCAGTGTGAAGAGCAGCAATTCTCAAATGCTTTCTGGAATCAAGGCCAGCCTCTCCATTGGGAAGGAAATACAGGAAGTGGTAGATTTTCTTGATTTTGCATTAATTATTCTCGCATGGAAAGAATAAAGTCTAACTTTCACTTCTATACTCCTCAAAAATATCTGTTGAAGGACACATGGAAATAAACTAAAACCTATGCATGCGTGCACTAAGGAACTGCAAATGAACATCCAACACTATGGATATTTAGCAGTGCGTTCAAAAGGGAACCTGAAAAATTGGGTCTGCTTCTAACAAGAGCACCACATGAAACTAGCAGTAATACTCAGGACTGTGCTTCCCTGCCTCTTGGGAACAGAATAACTTACCTCTCTGAGACATGTTGTCAAGGCAGACACACACTGCATTCAAGGTCAGATACAAATACATATCAATATATCTTTTTCAGCACTTGGATTACACATCCTTCCTTTCCCCCATCACACTCAAGTGTTTTAAAAAGTGGTTCTTGTTTCTCAGTTTTCCTTCTTGGGATGCACTGCTTAAACAGTCTGCTTGAGGATCAACGGACCTGTTCCAAACACCATCCCATATTCTTTCTGAGATAGGGTGAGATTCTCTGTCTCCCAGTTCCGACTCTTAGAAATACTGGGATGCCAGTTCATCCTCCAACCCCAGCTGCTTTGTCCATCACGAGAATATAAATCTCCTAAAATGAGAAAATTCAATGCACTGGCACAGGTTGCCCAAGGAGGCTGTGGATGCCCCATCCCTGCAGGCATTCAAGGCCAGGCTGGATGTGGCTCTGGGCAGCCTGGGCTGCTGGTTGGTGACCTGCACACAGCAGGGGTTGGAGCTGGATGAGCACTGTGCTCCTGTGCAACCCAGGCCATTCTAGGATTCTATGATTCTCATGGTAATCAAGAGCCCCAATGAAAGGGGCTTTCACTACTGACATTTGCAGAGTTTGTTAATGACGAGGCAGGAAACAAACATGACTTTGGAGAAGATTTGATAGCAGTGTGAAAATAATCATTTAAAAGGAAAATAAAACCAAAAAAAGTGTAAACACGTTTTCCAGGTATGGGATAACAAACACTGCTATTGCTATTTTGAACCCAAAGAAGAAAGAATGAAATATTCCTGAAGATGAGATGATAACGATTTATATTTTCTTTCCAGACCCAAAGGCTGTGATGTAAACCACCCAAACGGTGCAGAGGTGGTCAAAGTGACATCTCTGGAGCTGTTCATACCATCAGGTGTCACTGAGTGTCACAAAGTCATGCCGTGGTTTCACTGAAGAAGCACCGCGATCAAGTTGCAGAATTCAGGTCAGGCAGCAGGTAGGGCACAGGGGAATGCCCTTCATGTTCACACCTCCGCCTCGTGGTCCTCCAGGATCCTGTGGATTGCACAGAGGATGAAGGCATCTCCTGACAAAGCCATGGCACAGGAACATCCCTCTGGATCAGGCTTCTTGCAGCTTTGTTTTCACACGGGCACCTTCTCTGACATTAAGAACACGTGCAGCTTTCTTAGCAGGAGTCACTGCATATGCCCCTTCCCCTGTTGCAAAACCCCTCAGTATTCTGCATGCTGCTCAGTTTTCCAGTTTGGCATTAAAACCCAAAGCCTTTGAAAATGAGATCAAGTTTTGGTTTCTTCTGTATCTAGGAAAGAGAAATTAAACTTCCTTTTTCTTTTCCCACCAGGAATACCAAGCAAACAGACACCTAGAGTACAAACAAATGGAAGCCCCAGCCCAGCTGCAGATGGAAGACAGCAGAGAGAAGCACAGTAATGGCCTTAAATTGCACCAGAGGAGGTTCAGGTTGGATTTCTCCTCTGAAAGGAGTGGCACAGCTGCACCAGAGCGATGGGGTCACCGGAGGTGGTCCAAAGGCATGGAGATGTGGCACTGAAGGATGTGGTCAGTGGGCATGGAGGGCTGGGGTTGGTGATCTTAGAGGTCTTTTCCAACCTGAACGATTCTGTAATTCTATAGATGAAGTGTGAGGGATAGGAAAGGAATTGCCATCATACAAATCTCCAGTCTCACCAAGACAGATGAGCACAGAGGAAAAGGTCCCTCTATAAAGTTCAAATATTAAGAACGAAGAGGTAAAGAAAATCTGAAGTACGTATTCCTCCAGTCTTGAAGAACCTGATCTCAGTTAGACAGCAGAAACTCAACTTAAGCCACAACAGCTGGAGAATAGCTGAGGAGCAGCATCATAGCACAGAAGCTGGGGTGTGCAGACTGCAGGTGTGCTGCCAGCACAAACAGCATGCTGGCTCCAGTGCTTCAGGAGCCAAACGCTTCCAGCAGAAGGCACCTGCAGACAGGCACCTGAAGCTGGCATCTCACAGGGCCAGCAGTTTAAAATTAAATACCCTTGAAGGTAAGCACCTGGTTTTAACTTGGCACTTTCATCTACCAGCCAAGACTGAAGCGTGGGGTGATTCTTTCCCACCACAGTGCCAATTCAAGTCAAAATCAATAAGGAAAAGCATCTTTGAAGTGTTAAGAGCTGCTCTCCATCTACTCCACAAAGGCACTGGCATCCTGGTTAGGGCTAAAAGACCAGAGAACAGATTTATACTGCTTGAAATCCATGCTTGTCTTCTTTTTCTTCTTTTTTTTTCCCCAGGAATTTTCACCTTCTGACTCAAGAACGTCACCAATTGCCCAATAAGCAATCTTAATTCAAATCCATTGGACACTACAAACGAACATGATTTGGAGAAAAAATAATGTGTAAAATAATTTCAAAATTATGATGACAAGTTTTCTTACTTTTTACGATCGTATTTTTTATGATGCTTTTCACCTTTTACAGATTTGAGTTCCAGGTGTGAGAAGAGGCAGGAAATGACTTCCTATGCATCTCTATGCTTTCAGACATTTGCATTTTAGACTCAACTACAGAAAAATATTATGGTAGGAATCCCAAGGCAAACACTTATGCATGCCAAAGTAGATCCTCACCCTTCAGAATACTCCTAGGAACTACAAAAATATACGGTATGACAGGAATAACTCTAAACCTACCAGATGCGTTGACATTTTAAATCAAAGGTGCCTTTTGCAGCAGGCTGGTTCCAATGTCACTGTGGTCAGTTCGACTTTAATCACTGCCAGCTCTAACAATGCCAAAGATGTGTGGCAAAGTGCTTTGGAACCTTCTGCAATCCTTAATGGCTCCTGTAAGAACTACTTCCACCTTCTGAAGCAAACTGGCACAGCATCAGCTGTTCCACAGCTCCAAGCTCCTCCTGTGTTACAGCAGCCTTGATGGTGCATTCTCTACAGCCTCCCTGTTTCATATCCTACGTCTGGTGATTCACTTCATTCCAATATTGATACAAAAGCTGCAGTAAAAATAACTTCCGACACAAAACTAGAGGTGCATGCATCATCCCAAGACTGGCCAACCAAATTCTGCCTACTACAAAACTCTTTATTCAGTTCCTTCCCCAGTACAGTCTCCCTTACGCTGGGCCTACAGAGGTTCTAAAAGTGTTGCTTCTATTTTACTGAGAAAGTCAAGCCACAAAGTGAGTGTGTAAGAAACAAAAGTTCACAGTCATTAATCACAGCCACAAACAATTATAATAAAACTAGAGCACAGTATTGCTAGCATCTACTTTTCTCTACGACTCGCAGCACTGCTGTTTTTCTCCTAAGATTCAGTGCTTTTTCCTTCCCATGTGGGGGAAATGGCAAGAACACAGTGCAAGAAAGTGAAGCATGTAATTCTAGCACATTTAACTGACACGAGCAAACTAGAATGCAAAGCTTCCTATGCCAGGAGTACTACAAGAAAAAAAAATAATAATCTACAATTACTGTACCTTGGGAACGCTTTCGTTTAAGACATGCAGCATCTGAATTCTCCTTATATCCTCTCCATTTGAACAAAGAAGGGAGGGAGAAGGGAGGGAGGTAGTAGAGAACTAAAAGTAAAAACACTGAGCTTCAAAGTAAAATTTTTAAAAGGAGTGTCAATTTTCATTAGCATTACCATCACAAAAGAAAAAGAGTCGATGCATTTGTTGAAAAAGCACACATACTTCAACTGGTTCTGTAGCACGAGCGTCAGGTCACGTTAGGCACATTCAGTCTCTTTGCTCTTCATAAACAGTTACGACATCACAACAAAGCTCAGGGCGTTAGGAAAGGAAAGCTGTGACAGTGCATGCAGTTTCACTGAGTGCCTTTGCATCAAGGCGTACCAAAGCATTAACACACAAGTTGGCATAGGGCAGAACAAAGGCACTTTTAAGCAGACTCTAGACATTTGGAAAAATAAACAACAACTCATCTTCAAGCACAGCTCTATTATTTTCCCCAAAGACTGCAAGAAATGACATCCCACTGTTAACCTGTGCTGTGAGTCCTTCAGCAGAGAAACCCAGCAGCACACACTGTGCCTCTGACAGCCCTCCCACTGTGAGCAGGAGCTTCCCTTGGATGGCAAGGCAAGCCCACAGCTCCTATTAGACGTTCACTCGTCTTACTTCACCCCTGAAACCCTGAACACCACATAGCTGTGCCAAAGATTCTTTTTCACGGACTTACCTTCACATCAGTGCTGTGCAATTAACAGAAGGAATGCTTGAAGGAAAGGGGAAACTGCTGCCAAGCAGATTGAGTTATGCAGTCATGTGGCTGCTTCTCTTGGCACTTACACAGCAAGGCTGAGCTCCTACCAACCCACCTTCTGCACTCGTACAAATAGCCTTGGATTGTAAGCAAACAACAGGAGCCTCAAAAACTTTATGTAGTCAAGAATGTGTGTGCTTAAAGCCAGTGAGAAATCAGAGTCTCCAGTTGGGCTTCTGAATCCATAAAGTTGCTGAGGCTGCAATGGCTGGAAATCAGTTTGCCTGCTGGGGAATGGGAAAATGTAACTGACATCACTCTCCCTTACAGGCATTAGAAGTAATTAATGCTCTACAGCCCAGTAACTCACAAGTGATATTCCATGCTTCTGTCAAGGGCATCTCACACCTCCTCATGCTCTCAGCTCACAGCTTTGTCAGCAGATGCCTTCATACAGATGCTGTACATTACTGTTGCACATCAGTTTTCTACAGGGAGGGAAACTAGGCTCATCATTCCTGCACTGGGACTTAATGGAACAATTCAGCCTACAGAGTACTGTGCTGGCTGTGGCAATACAGGAACAGGCTGCCCACGGAGATGCTGTGGAGTCTCCTCTGCTGGAGATAAGCAAAACCCCATGGAAACATCCTGAGCAACCTGCCCTCATCGGCTCTGCTGCTTTCTCAATCTCCACAGATCCCTTCTGATCCTGGCAATTCTGTGACTGCATGAATGAGACTTTCCTTACTAAAGGTTAGCACAGTCAGCTGCAACAAAAACGCATTGTTAATGGTTTTTTCTGTTTTAATCAACAGAGAAAACTGTATTTGAAGCCTAAGGCAAAACAGCAAAAACTCCAAACACAGTTTCTATACTTTTCATGGCATGTAATGACACAGTGAAGCCCATAGCAAAACCCAAGAAACTCACGCAGTTTCAAAATCAATGCATTATAAAATCTGTTCTGATTCTGACTCGTGGGGATTTCTACATTTCTTACAGTGTCTCAGAATCACAGAGCTGATTTCCACTGAAGGAACTTGCTGGGGGTTATCTGCTCCAGTTTCCCACAGACAGGACCAGCTTTTCAGTTGAATGTAATATCACGTTTGGATCAGCTTGCTCTGGCAATTTCCAGCTGAAATCTGAGCATTTTTAAGGACGGATGCTCCACCACCTCTCTGCAAATACAATCAGCTACAGAATCACAGAACGGCCTGGGCTGGAAGGGACCTCAAGGATCACGAAGCTCCAACCCCCCTGTGCCATGCAGGGCCACCAACCTCCACATTTCACAGCAGCCCAGGCTGCCCAGGGCCCCATCCAACCTGGCCTTGAACACCTCCAGGGATGGACGGGGCATCACAGCCTCTCTGGGCAGCTGTTCCAGCACCTCACCGCTCTCACAGCACACAACTTCCCCCTGACATCCAACCTCCATCTGCCCTCTCTAAACATCTGTCCCTATTTTACCATCATGTGTATTAAACTTCCAGCATCACTTCTCCCCAGTTAAACGAATATTCTTGAAAAGCTAACAGAAGAACAAAAGACAGGTACCTAACTATACCTGACTCTAAGAGCTAACCTGCAGCTCAACGGCAGGCTGCTCTGTATTGCAGACACTGCTCCTCCCTCTCTGCAGCTGGAGCTGTGCTGCCTGCTAACAGCTCCTCTGTGCTGCAGGAGCACACAGCAGGGGATGTGTGGGCTTCGATCACACAGCAAGGGAGAAAAAGCAACACTTCAGATGCAGAACATTCCTGCCTTTATCGTGGTTAAATGATGTTACCAAAGCATCTAGCCTGAGATCCTTTCAGAACTTGCTATTATCCAAGTTCATGGCTTTGTTTTTATCTTACAGTGGCCTTGATCTCACCGAGGTTGCTAGAGAATGCTGCTCTTCAGATGAGCAAGTCCTAAACTCACTGTCTAAGCATGTATGAAAATAAGTTTCTATATCTTACTTATTCTATACCTTTTAATCTTACTGTTTGCTAACAAGGTTTTACAATACCCTTTTTGTATTCCTTTCAAAATGTTTTCACCTTACACGCTGCTTCACAGAACAAGTGCTACAATAAAGGTCTCAAATATTCATAGAGTTATTTAACAACAATATATTTAAGCATAATACATGGGCAGAAGCACAGTGCAAGAAAGGTCAGTAGTGCTGCAGGAAGGCAGTGACAGCCATCTCAGTGTGACCAAACAAACTCCTTAGTTTCATATTTCAATGGTCAATATCTATATTTAAAATTTTGAACCTAAGAACAAAAATGTCACCTTACACCTCATGCTGATATTAACCTATGCATGTTCAGCTTGAACAATGAACCTTCCCTAAGAAAGACAAGCAAAACCCTTGTTCTTATCAAAAAAGCCTGGATGAAAAAAAAACCCAATCAACGCATGGGCAAATGAACGTGAGGCCCAAAAAGCCCCCAACATCATCCTATCTCACCTATCAGCATGGTGGCAGAACTAAAAATCAGAGCTGGCAGTCGGTGGGAGCCTACAGATACAGCTTCAGCACTGCAGCATCTCACTGAATGGTTGAAGGCTTCAGACAGGACTGCTGTAGGAAAGACTTGAGCAGCAAACACCAAGCTCCCATACAACTACCACAGGACAACACCAGCACTACTCTTGCCCAAAGAATTGATTTCTAAGCTACACAAGTGAGGGCAAGCTAGAAGATACTGTCCTGAATCTGCCAATATCACATTTGTGATTTGCACAGGCTGTAGATCGTCTCTTCCACAACAAAGCAGTCAGAGAAATGCAGCCAAATCTCTGCTCCTCATCCCCAATGTGGATTCCTCCTGTAGCTCTAAAGGTTATCCCATCTTCATAGGCAGAATTGCAATGTTTCTTTGTCTATCAACAATCAGACTAACACTTAGAGCTGAAGAACGTATTCAGAATCTGGCCAGGATCAAAGCAAACTCTGAGGGCAGTCAGGCTAAGGAGGTGAGAGGTGATTTCTTTGCAGCTTTTGCTTGCACTGGTGTTCTGGTAGCATTCCTCCTGCCTGGTTTGGGGCAGGAAGGAGAACATCCTGCACAGCCACACACACACACACTGCCTGCTGTGTGGTGGCCTGAGAGATCAGCTGTCACTTGCCAGCATCTCATATACATGATGCTTCACTTCAGAAACCTCTGGTGAGGGTAAGTGGCCTCCTGCAAGCATGGCAGGTGCTCACCACCCCTCCAGGAATATCAGGAATCTGTCTAATTTCTACAAGCAGCAGACACAGCTCTGGAACTCAGTCTTCTGGGACCCAAATCTCAAATCCAAATATCAGTTGGATATTGAAAAACCAAAGCTCACATTAATCTGCTTTGACGATGCCAAGAAATAAGCAAAGTGCTCCATTTTGGAGTTCTGACCTGACGAATGATTCACCCAAGGAACTCATGTCACTGCTGAGATCACCACTCAGAGACCACTGCAGAGGATCAGAGGCCAGGAGGAATCAAATACATCAGGCAGCAAAAGTGCACTTCATTTTGCAATGCATGAAATTAAATACTTGGTCTCCATGAGCACTGAAGAGTAGGATGAACATTATTATCATCCCTGCAGGCCAGATTGGGGACCACTGCTCTGAAACATTGTGCACTTTCAAAGGAAGGCATTCTTGGACTGGCAGTTTAATAATGGGGTAATTATTCATTGGCAGTCTGTCGTTAACAAAAGTTCTGGATAAAGCTTATCCATGTTTTCTTAAGATGCTTCAATCTGGAAGCAGAATTAAGAAAGCAAATAACTGAAATCTACTCTTAACTTTTCAACCTGCTGCCACTGCTTTAAAGCACAGCTGGCCTAAGATCAGGGCCCAACAAGACTGTCAGCTGAATATCAGCAAGAGCCTCACTGTTATTCATTATTTGTGAAGCAAGGAGGCACGATCAAATAATAAAGCAATTATGCCTAGGTAATAACAGGCAGTGTAACAGCAAATCAGCAGAGACTGCCTTCCCTCTTGCTGATGGGTCAGATAAGATTGCTAGGTTTTCAGCATTTACAAGGTTGTACTGTAGCGTTGTGAAGAGCCATTTTGCCTCCCAGTGATACCTACAGGTCCATCCTAGCTTTCATTAGTCTTAAGTAACAGTCACCTGTAAACCTTAATGGGGCTGAGATGTATTTAATACAGGATGCAATGGCAACAAGTTGCAGCAACAAAGCAATGAAGCAATTTAAGCTGAACTCAGCACTTCTCCAACTAATGATGTTTACCTCACCAGTGATAATGCAAGTTGTAAAGCTTCTCCCCATGCCACCTGCAGATGGAAATCGCAGATTTCAGCCAATCAGAAATGTTTTGAGAGGCTAATTAAGATGAAAAATGCACTTTTCACACTTATTGTTGATCATTTTTCCTACATCTTCCCGAATTTCTAGGAGAAAGCCTTCAGAGAGTTGGGACTTATGCTCCCTTTTGAAGTCACTGCATGCCTCACTGTTATTGTTTTAGTTCAGCTTTAGAAAAGGCCCTGGGGGCTGGAGGCTCTCTGATCTCTTACATTTCTGTAAATAACAAGGACTGTATCTTTCCCATTCCTTTCCTCGATTCAGATCTGAATTTTTCTGTTCCACAACCCAGACATTTGCTGGAAGAAAAGCCCACCTGAGCCCCATTCCTTACACGATGAGGTGAACCCAAGTGCAGCTGAAGGCATTTTCTCTTCCTTCCTACAGACATTATGCTACTAAAGGCTGGAAGCACTCAGCAGCCATAAGGATGCGCTTTCCAAGCAAATTCATGCTGACCAACCAGAAATGACACTGTGCTCTCAGCAGGACTACAGCTGCAGTAACAATGCTGGGATTTGTATCAGTGCACTGAAATGATAAATTGACACAGGCCAACCAAACCCAGGTAAAAGCACCCTTCAGAAGCTGTGGGCACTGTGCTGGGGGGTCAGAGGTCACCCGACTTTAGGCACCCACCTGACAGAGCTGTTAAAGCAGAAGGCTTCTGCAGGGTTGGTCAGGGGAAAAATGGTTTGGTCTGGTGGTTAGCAACCCTGCACACAGCAGGGGGGGTTGAAACTAGATGATCGCTGTGGTCCTTTTCAACCCAAGCCATTCTACGCAAAATAAAAACCAGGGCAGTTCAGTGTCCTCACTGGCTATGAAGGGAGCTAGGACTTTGCTGCTTTCTGTATTCCTGTATTCAATTCCCCTGAAGTAAAAAAATGCGATTCTGGTTTTCCTATTACAGAAGAACCCCGAATGCTATCTGGCTTCTACATTATTCACAAGGTTTTATGCACGTGATGGCACAGCTCCCACGTGAGGACTGCATGTCTGCACCAAAGCACAGCTGTTTCTACCTCTGTAACCGTTTTGTTCCAAGTTTTGTTTAAGCTCCTTTAAACCACAAAGTTGCTTTGTAAAGGATAACCCCAAATGCTACTAAAACGTATTGCCAGGGCTCTGCGCTTGCAGCTCCTCCTTTGAGAAAGTTGCACAAGGGACAACAGACACACAAAAGCAAAGCATGAAAGCCAAAAATAATAAACTTCTGCTGTGCTACATTTGCCCAGAGCAATCAGTTCAACTGCACAGTAAGTTCAGAAGACTGTTCTTAACAAAGTTAAATGTGTTTGACTGAGATTGCCAAGAATCCTAACTGAACGCCCTCAGCCTGGTGATTAAAACATAAGGACTTCCATAACTGAATGAATGCCCGAGACTTCAGACTGGCTGAAAACTACTCTAATAAAGTCACAGATTGAGCTAGAATGGAAAATGAAATGTGATCTGTAAAATGGATGCTCCCTTTAGGGCAGAAATTAGGAATGCCAGCCAGAGAACTAATAGCCAGTTTGCCTTCAGACACTGACACACTTCTTAGCCCATAAAGGGATTACAGTTTGAAATGAGATTTCGAACACAATTAAAAGATATGAAACATTAAGCAAAATGGGAACAAGAGGTCCATCTGTGAATATAATTCCACAGTGCTCACCTAATGTGCTAGAGCAGGAAATCCTACCAGAAGATACAGTGGAGAAGGGGACAGCAAACTGCACCCTGTAACCTTCCCCATTATGCAGAACAGAAAGCCATCCCAGATCAAGCTCTTAGTTAAGGAGAAGATTCCAGCTGTCCAGAAGACATGTTATGCAAAGTAATCTTACCTTCCTTCCCATCAACAGGTTTTGATACTTCCATATCAAAGCTCTCTTGCATCTGCTGGCCCCGGAAGCGGTTGAGGTGCTCCTGCTCTATCAGGTTACTTTCCTCCTCCTCCAGAGGTTGCCAAGTACCATCAATAAACCACTGCCCTCGCATTACAGGAATCTTCTCCGTTTCTGAAAACCAAACAAGAGATTCTTTTATGCGACAGAACCCAAACTGACAGCAGAGAATCACAGAATCACAGAATTGTAGGGGTTGGAAGGGACCTCCAGAGATCATCGAGTCCAACCCCCTGCCAAAGCAGGTTCCCTACAGCAGGTCGCACAGGTCGGCATCCAGGCAGGTCTTGAACATCTCCAGAGAAGGAGACTCCACCACCTCCCTGGGCAGCCTGTTCCAGTGCTGGGAATCCCAACAAGGAAACCCCAACCACACACTGAGAAACACCGCTTCTTCCCCATGGAGCTGAGCGTGTTTGAGGATGCAAAAAACAGACAGGAAGATGTATATTCTGCAAACTTGAGTGCTGGGTTAAAAATGGGATTTATACTCCTCTCTATGTGGCTGCCCTGTATTTTCAAAAAGAACGAGGAACTTTGTGAGGCTCATGTTCCTTTATACAACTTGACCGATAGGAACTGGGGGTTTAAAGTTGTAAAGAAGATGCAGAACAAGGAGGAGAAAGCAAACCACATACGCTTGCCTTGACAGCACAGAGCTTTGTTTCTTTTGGGAACTGCTCTTAAAATAACTCCATCTGTGTATCAATTAACATAAAGGACGATTTTAAAGAGTGAAGTCACTTCTTAATTAAAACCAGTCTGTAGTGGGGGTTGTTTTCAGTCACTGTCACTCTAGTTTCACTTCCGGCGCTCCAAACGAGGAAGCTGGGTGCTGAGCATGTGTTGTCCATGTGATACAACAGAATTCTCCCCCAAAATGAGTGCTGGCACCTATGGTTCTTCAACAAACCACGACTGATGCCCAGATTCAGTACTGTGACTGCAGGGAGTGAGAACTCTCCTCTTGCACAGATACCCTCAAGCACGATGAGACAACACTATCCATTTTAGCTCAGGACTTCACAGAACCATGCAGGCTGGAGAAGACTTCCGAGATCCCCCAGCCCACCCCACCGTGCCCACTGCCCACATCCTTCAGTGCCACATCTCCAGGGCTCTGCAACACCTCTGGGACGGTGACCCCCAGCCCTGGGCAGCTGTGCCACTGCTGAATTATTCCTTCTGCAAAGAAATGTTTTCTCACAGCCAACCTGAACCTCTCCTGGCACCATTTCAGGCCGTTCTCTCTCATCCTATCATGGTTGCCTTGGAGCAGAGGCCAACCCCCACCTCGCTACCACCACCCTTCACGGAGCTATAGATAAGATCTCCCTGAGCCTCCTCTTCTCCAGACTGATCCATTTCCCATCTCTGGAAAATCAAGGAGAGCAGTGTGTGGGTTCCAGAGCCTTTGGGGCTGTGGCCATGGGACTGGCTGAGACCCAAGACCAAGAAAGCAATCCCACCACTGACTTCCAGTACAAGCTGGAAGAGACTCAATCAAATGCAAACACTGTACATGTGTACATACACACCACACAAACTCAGCTCTCCAAGGAAGCAAAGCACTCAGCCACAAAAGGAGAGACTTAAAAAAGAAGATGAGGGAAAAAGAGCACCAAGGTTTTACTACTCAAAGAACTGTTCGTACACAGATGGTGTGAAAGCAGCTGATACGGGCAGCTGGGAAAAGCAACAATAGATGCAAAAACAATCAAAAACAGTAAAGGAAAACTAGATACATAAATGCAAAGTAAAAAACAAACAACCAACCAAACAGAAAAACCAACACAGAGCACAAAGAGTTCCCAAGCACAGGAACAGAAAGCAGAGATGCCTACCCTGTCAGATGTGAAGTGCTTTCATACCAGGTGCTCACAGGGGAGAACAAAAAGCAGCAGAGATCTGCAAGCACCTCCCTTATTTATTCTGAATTCATCATCTCTTAGACCAACACAGCAACGAGCTAGGAAGACTAAAGGGAAATCTCGTTGCAGTGATCTCCCCTCCAGGCAGGAACACTCCATGTTCCAAAGCCTGTTTCAAAACCTTCACCATAGAAGATTTACAGTCCAACAGTGTTTCTACAATACCACAAGTGCCGATCATCCCCTAACAGCCCTGGCCTTGCAGCTGGAGCAGGGCAGGCTCTGGGTGATGGCACTGCTGGGCAGCTCCTGCAGCACAGCGAGGTGAGCAGCAGGGAAAGCAGCAGCTGCTGTGGGCAGATAACCAGAGCGAGCGGCCCCACATCACGGCTGGGTGCTGGTGTGGGTGCTCTGCTGATTACCCAAGTGTACTCACGACTGGGAAACCCACAGGCAGCCCCGTAAGCAGGCACGCAGCGTGATGCAGGGAGCAAATCCCCTGAAGCAAAGGCTCTGATCACCCCCAGCCTCTGTCATCCCGGCCTCCTGCACATCCCAATCCCCTCTTGTTCCTCCCTTCCAAGATCCTCAAAGCCTGTTTTAATGCTCTGACCACTGCTGCAGCACCAGACCGCACCAGTCTGGCTGGCCTGACCAAAATGCCAACAGACACCTTTGGCACGGTGGTTGGAACCTGATGATCCTTGGGCTCCCTTCCAACCATTCTATGATTCCGTGGCGCAGCACAGGACCCATTTCTGCCATTCAGTTGCTAAAACAGCTCTTCCAGATAGCTCTGAATTATTCCACCGTGCATTTCTGATGTTTTGGGTATCGTTGATCCGACCAGATGAATGAAAAGGCTGGGCTGTTGGAAAGGCATGGTTACTTAATGAAAAGGGATCCGAACAATCAGAAGAACTCAAGGCGCTTTGAACTGCAGGAATTAATCGTCATGAAAAAGGACACAAACTGCAGTTGTGTGTGAAAACTAAACTCATTTTAGAGTCGACAACCCATGAACGGAGTGCCAACCATCAGGTTTTGGAATGAACTTTCTCAAACTCAACCCGTTAAACACCACAATTGTGAATCATTATTGATCACTGCCGCACGGAGAACAAGAAGCAAACTCCAGCAGTAGCTGCTCATCGTGTGCTGGTCTTCACCTCGGCTGTGTCCCCTGTTTTACACCTGCTGCTCTGCAGGGCTCATGCACACACATCCAGCTCTGCTGCTCTCACAGCACAGCTCTGCCTGCAGGAAGAAACGAAGCACACAAGGCATGGCAGTGAGCATAAAGGATCCCATTGTTGCCGAAGCAAAGGCACAACTGTGTCAGATGTTGATCCTCACTGGGAAAAATCTGCAAGCAGCTCCTTAATTCTCCACCAAGCGTTCTGATGAGGCTCCATTCACTGAATCCATAATAAGATTTTTTAAAAAATTAAAAAAAAAAAATAAAAATGATGTGAATACTATTTTGTACTCCAAACCAAATGAAGACAACAGACCTCTTCTTCATTTCTGAAGGGTTCCGAGGTTTTCACATGGGAATTTCCACCTACAGATTTCTAAAATTCGAAGCATTAGCAATTAAAATAAACGTTTTCAGGCTCTTTCTGCTGGAAAAAAAAACTTTCCCACTGAGTTTCTTTAAAGTAGAACACAGCAGTCAAACAGCAAATCTCAAATAATAGATGGGCAACAGGCTCTCCCAGAGAAGCTGGGCCAGGAAAAAGAAAAACGGAACGACTGAAATAAGAAAACATTTATTGTAAAATCTTTACAGCCTAATTTGGTTTAGAGATAAAATAATATATCTGGCTCTAGGGCTGGAAAGGGCATTTATCTGGAAAACACTTCATCTGTAAATCACTTTCGGATCCAGAGAGAGATTATTACAGGGCTTCGTTTTCAAAGCAGGGCTTCATAAGGGAGCCAGGTTTTCCAAAGCTCAGTGGGATTTTAGGGAGACCCAGGAGTTGGTCCCCACCAACACTTTAACAACTGGGGATTGGGTGAGCTGATCTCCAGAGGTCCCTTCCAAGCCCGACCACTCCGTGTCTTTTAGTGCCTGCAGCCACAGCATCTCAGCTCGCTGTATTTCACCCTGGGTGCGTGGCAGGCTTGATCACTGTTACACTGCTGGGAAACCCCAGCAAAAAGACCATCCAGTACAGAGGGAATGCCCCTTCCTGCCATCAGGAGCACGGTTTGGTCTTCATAAAAGTGAATGCAGTCTTTCAGAGCCATCAGATTTGTTGCAGATGACAATGAACTGCAGCACAGCACTGCTTGTTAGGCTTGGCAAAGCGGGGAAAAAAACAGCTTCTTGATGGTTGTGAAAACCAAGCAATGATAGGACAAGGGGAATGGTTTTAAAGTGAGACAGGGGAGGTTTGGGTTGGATATGAGGAGGAAGTTTTTCAGCCAGAGGGTGGTGAGGCACTGGCACAGGTTGCCCAAGGAGGCTGTGGATGCCCCATCCCTGCAGGCATTCAAGGCCAGGCTGGATGTGGCTCTGGGCAGCCTGGGCTGCTGGTTGGCGACCTGCACACAGCAGGGGTTGGAGCTGGATGAGCACTGTGCTCCTGTGCAACCCAGGCCATGCTGTGATTCTATGATGGCTGCATTACCAGCGTGCAGTGCTGGGCTGCACTCAGGTCACACTCCAGGCAGGGCAACAGCAACCTCCTGATCCTCAAGGCCATCGGCTGCCATCGTGGCACTGGGTGGTGAAGGAAGGGCGGTGTGTTGAGGCAATGGCTGTGGGCACGAGGCTGGGTGGGGAGCCCAGGGACTTACAACACAGCAGCAGGTCCTTCCGTATCACCTGGCTGAGCGAAACCTCAAAGCTGCATTGTGGTAAACAACCCCGCTAATCTCAGACAGGTGCACCAAGATTACACCAAGATTACCCTGTGATTCATCCAGCACGATACAAGCTATTACAGTAATTGCCATGAAACAGCAGTGTACCAAACCTGCTATTTTAAGGCCCAATTGCATTCCTATCCACTCGTTCATTCACGTCTTGAATATTCACCGCTGATTTCAGGAAGCATAAGGCAAGCTCCCCCTGCATCTTCATTCCACAAAAGGAATGAAATATTTACATCCAACTAGAATTTGATTTCTCTCTCCTCCGATACAGAACTCAAACTCTGTAGGAGGTAATGTTAAGAGTTTATCTTTGTCATTCCAACCTTGATCCCCAGGAAAGGATTTGCCTTGATTTCT